CCAGGCGGGTCAATACAGCTGGGGCTCTGCTGTCTTGGGTTTTCTTTATCGGTAGCTGTGCGATGGGTGTCATTGGACTTCGTCCACAGCGTCACTTGGTGGATGCGTGTACCTGTTTCAGTTGTGGATGTGGACTCATCTACCAGTTGGCCGTCCCGAGGTTCTGGCTCCTCGTGAGTGGTTCCTAGGTCAAAACACGATGCAAGACGTGTACGTTTCTTCTGCAGGTAGAGGAGGCTTAGGTTCCTCTAGCCAACCAGCTACAGGGGCCGAGGACGAGGACGATGACAATGTAAACCAGAGGCACGAGGAGCTTGGCCCCTCTCAGCTCTACGACGCTCCCTCGACTCAGCCTACACAGCCTCCAGGCACTAGGCGATGCCGTCCACCTGACCCTTACACTCCAGGTACCAGCGCTCTTGGTGAAAGAGTAAGGGTAAGACTAGGAGGCATTGAAGATTTTGTGGTAGATGTTAGTGTGTACTATTATAGATTTTGTAGTCACTTTCCTGTAACTATTTGGGACTGTATGGATATTATGGACTATTTGGACTATGCAGGACATGTTATGTTGATTGTGATGTTCGTTGTGGTTGCATTGTGCTCTTTGGACGATTAAATGTTTAGATTATATAATGATGTCTCTGTTTGTAACTGTGGATGCTCCTGAAATAAGGGAAACTCTTGCAATTTTTTCGTGAATCATTAATTATACTACACTGCTAAAAATGTACAAATATAATACACAGATTAAATGTAAATTCATTAGAACGTGTATAGTCCAATCGTATCGTACAGACTCTCAGGAGTTCCGACGTACGTCGGGACTTCCGACGTGCGCATATAGCCGGCCAGCAAAAACCCAGCTGTCGGGACTCCTGACTTGGGTTGGAAGTTCCGACTCACGTCGGGACTTTCGACGGCCACAGTCACTGCGCAGGCTAAGTGACTGGGCGTCAGGACTTTCGGCTTGAGTCGTGACTTCCGACGGTCGAAAGTTCCGGCTTACGTCAGAACTTCCGACACCAACAATTACTAAAAAATATTCTACGTGCTCGGGGAGCCATATTACAATCCAACAGAGATGATCAATCGACGACGAGGCTGTGTGCTGGGACCTGCTGGATCGACCTGCCGATCGAAGCTGATCTGGAGCTACGAAGGATTTAGGTGATAAGCACTATACTAATCCTGCTTGCTAACGCGGCTAGTGCGATGTACTATAGAGAGTGCAATAATTGTCGTAGCTCGTGCAGGGTAGACTACTTATTTTTCGTCGGAGTTTGGGACTGGCCTATGCTTATATTAGAATTTAGATCAGTATTGCTATATGTTAACCGGGTGATTTAGGCTCTTCTGTCAACCGATTTCTAGGCCGGCGTACGTGCTGTGTTGGGTGCTCACACTGCTGACGTGTACATACGTGCCTGTTGCCGTCTTCCGAATCCATCTGCCGTGCTGCTTAGGAGTACGTACGATCGGGACTCAAGAATTAACACAAGGCCAAGCAACGCCTGACGTGTCGTACTTCCTGTACCATACACAATACAACCCCGTAGCTGCGAGTTTGTTTTTTTTAATTTGTGAATAATTTATGAATAATTTGATAATATTTGTGAATAATTTGACATATATTTCTTTGATATATATCTGGAATCCATAGAAATAATTTATAATTTTTTTGAAAATTTTGACATATATTTGTATTATACTCAAATTGCACCTCTGCGTACAATAAATTACACTGAAGAAGTAAGTGTAAATATAATAACAAGTCAGTGTAAATATAGCTAGAAGATAGTGTAAGTATATGAGAAAAATTCAGTTAACAGGACGGGTCAAAACAACTAAATGTCACCCAGACAGATCCGTTTTCCTTTTCTAGAAATCCATTCCATGTAAATTTGAAGCCGACTTCGATGGATGGATGGATGGATACATAGATATGTAGCCGTAGCCCAGTAGCTGGAATAACCCTGAAGCAGCGACAGATCCATGGAAAACTACGTGGCCTCCGTCGGCGGTTGACGACAGGTCCATGGAACAAATAATACGCTGCTAGCTGGTAGTACTAGCTAGTTAATCGTCGTTTATTGATGAGAGTGGACTTTGCTATACGATGACCATGCATTATTTAGGTAGCCGGGTGGTCCAGAATAAATTTGCTTCGTAAACAGGTAAAATATATGTACTAATTCGCGGATCTCGAGCAGTGCTAGCTGTCTCCTGCTACCGAACCATGAGCAACGGCAGTCAGGCAGAGCAAGTGTCTATCAGTCTATGATGAGCATTGCGGCAGCAGGTGCAGCACATTGGTAGCACAACTGATAACTGAGGAGAGGGAAGCAACTGCTGCCAAGCTGCCTCCGTGCGTGGAATGTCACTTTTCCTCAGCAGATCAATCAAGGCCTTCTTTAGTTTCTCCCCTCTAAAATTTACTCCTTGTCCCATCGAATGGTTAGACACATGCATGTGGTATTAAATATAGACTAAAAAATAACTAATTACATAGTTTATGACTAATTTACGAGACGAATCTTTTAAACCTAATTAGAACATGATTTGACAATGTGGTGCTACAGTAACACATGTGCTAATGATGGATTAATTAGTCTTAATAAATTCGTCTCGTGGATTACTGACGGATTCTGTAATTTATTTTTTTAGTAGTATCCGAATACCCTATACGACACCCCTATGTGACATCCCAAAACTTTACACCTTCAATTTAAACAAGACCTAAATACTAGTAGCAACTTTTTATGATTCATGCATGGATATTGATGAATCCTTTGACTTTGGGCTCCTGAATTATGTTACTGGCCGGTGGTCCTGATTGCAATCAGACCCACCTAGCAGTAGCACAGTTGCATGGAGACAAATCAGACCCACCTACATTAGTCAGAAGAGAGCCGCCTCATCCTGCCTGGAATCATGTTAGGGCCGGGGCGACCTCTTATTCTCCTCAACTATCGAAGTTGAGACTTGGGAGGCAATGCAAGGGCCCAGATATGATGATGAAGATGGAGCGAGGTAAGGGGGTGTTATAATAAGATGTATCTATAAGATTTCATTGTAAAACACTACTGTCACGGCCAACCACACGCAAGCTTTACATATAGAGAGATTTGTACAGAATGTCCAAAGCACACGATCGAGTACATGCGCGGACTGTGACAGATTGATTCAATGCTAGCAGCAGTTTGCGTATGCATATGCATGCCCAAGGAATTGGACACGCATCAGGAGAAGTCGACAGCATCATCACGCTCCCGTCGGCGACGATGGTGGCCCAGGCATCGCCGCGGCCTTCATCTTGTTCGGCAGCGGCGGTGGCGGCAGCTTCGACTTCGTCGCCCCCAAGGAGCGCCTGTTCCAGATCTTCCCGCCGCGGTAGCCGCCGTAGGCCCAGTCGTCGTTGCCCGCCGTCACAACGCCGCCGCCGGCGGCCCAAACACTCCTCCCATCCTCTTGAGAGGAGCGGACGGGGACGGCGAAAGAACCCACGAAGACGACGACCATGAGCAGCCAAGCTAAGATTCTGCGACTCATGGTCATGGCGGCTGCTAGCGCCAGTTCAGTACTGCACATGCGATTTTGCGATGGATGCGAGGAGGGTCCAAGGCTTATCGAACTTCTGGTCGCCAATCTTCTAAGCAGGCTATTAGTCACCTGTATTATGATACTGCATGCACCTACTGGCTGCTGAGATGCTGATGCAACGAATGAGTGCACTGGTACAATGCTTGTAGCTCGTGTGCTGGGTTTTTTTTATTGACTCCAATTTATGATGATAGATCATTAGATTCATTGGTTGACCTCACATCGAATGGCCGACAGATTTTGGTGGCTCATGCGATTGAGGCTGGCAGTGTTATACCCCGCCAGCTCTCCCTTCATCTGTCTCAAAAACCATTCCTGAGGATACTACTTCCTCCGTTCCAAATTATAAGACGTCTTTGACTTTTCTAGATAGAGTAAAATGCACTCTAGATTCTTAAATTTTTCAAAGATTCATGAGAAGTTTAAGTAGTAGCACCCAAGATGCATTTTACTCTTCTAGATGCACTTAGATATACACTACATCTAGATAGATATATAGTAAAATTAATATATCTAAAAAGATCGAAACGTCTTAAAATTTGAAATAGAGGGAATATTAAATAAGCATCGATGCTACCATTTTGGAGTTCGCCAGGAACACGGAGACCCACCGGGAAGCTTTCACAATTCAGAATTCCAAGAAAAAGGGTTAATTTGCTTCACGCAAACCCGATCCATATGAATGCCCACCGGACACTGATGTTCTGCATGGCGCAGAAGCCCAGTACTTTAGACGACTACATCGAGACTGTAGTCGGCGGCGCCAACGGCGACAAAGGAACAAGCACATGCAGACAGGGCGACGTAGATGAAGGTTGTGTTTGGCAGTGGGTGCAATGGGACCCGCCTAGCGCAGCCGCTGCTGCAGCTGTTGGAGCGTCGCCGAGCGGGCGCAAATAGTCTCGCGTGTGCATGGGAGTGGAGGGCCCCCCGAGCGAGCGGTCCCCGTGCGAGGTCTAGCGACGCGGGCGTTGTTCGTGTGGCGCAGGCCCATGCGTGGACGCGCAAAACGCTGGCGCGGGAAACGGTGCGACGCGGGCGCGCAGCAGCATGCGCTGGCGGGCGAGCAGGCGCAACAGCATGCGTACGCGCGGGCGCAGGCCTGTCCCAAGATATATATACCTATGAGATGTCATTGTAGAAGACTGCTGTCATGGCCAAACCAGGCAGCAAGCTTTACATAGAGATATATTTATACAGAATGTCCGAAGTACACAAGTAAATGGGGACTGCGTGGCAGGTTGATTCAAGGGGAACTGCTAGTAGCAGTTTACGCAGCGGAAGATACACAAACGTTCACACTACTCGCTGGTACGCGCATGCGGCATGCCGCCGCGCCCAAGGAGTTGTACACACATAATAATTAAGGAAGAAGCAGCTAGGTCAAATTGATAACATCACATTCTCGTCGGCGGCGACGGTGGCGCAGGCATCGTCGCGGCTTTCTTCTTGTTCGACACCGGTGCTGGCGGCAGCGTCGCCCTCGCCCCCAAGGAGCGCCTGTTCCAGATCATCTTCCCGCCGCGGTAGCCGTAGGCCCTGCCGTCGCTGCCCGCCGTCACAACGCCGGCGCCGACCCAAACACTCCTCCCATCCTCTTGAGGGGAGCAACAAAGTGGAGTGGCGAAAGAACCCACGAAGACGACCACCATGAACAGCCAAGCTAAGATTCTGCGACTCATGGCGGCTGCTACCGCTAGCGCTAGCGCTACCTCAGGAATGGTTTTTGGAGTTCGGAAGTGTGTCGTCACTGTGTCCAAACTCCTCAACTCCTGTTGTGTGTATATATAGTACTACGTACACATGCGATTTTGTGATGGATGCGAGTGTGTCCAAGGCTTATCGGAAACTGGATGCTGAACCTACTAATCTGCTAAGCAGGCACATAGTAGTTAGCTGTAGTATTATATACTGCACTGCACCTACTGGCTGCTGATGGAACGAACGACTGTATACTGGTACAATGTTTGTAGTTCGTGTGCAGGCTTTTTTGTTGACTTCAATTTATGATGTTAGATTCATTGGCTGACCTCTCACATCGAATGCATGGCTGGCCGACAGACTTCGGTGGCGCATGCGATTGAGGTTGGGGTATCAGAAAACTCCCTTCGTTTGTCTCCAAAAAACCATTCCCATTCTCTGAAGGCTAATCTGCTCGCTTGTCTCCTCTGAATCTCGTGGCTTTTGAAACCACTCGGAATCCCGAAGCTCAGAAAGATTTCTTTTTAAAAAAGTTTGGAGAACTACGTGGCGTCCGTCGGCTGTTGACAACCCACGGCGCCCATAGATACATGACTACATGTTTAAGCTTCGTGCAATAACCAATTAGTCGTCCATGTTGACTTTGCTCCATATATGATAATCACACAAGAATAAGTTAGGCCAGTTCGTGATCTAGCCTAAATTTGTTTCTTCATATGGGTTTAAAAGACGTACTTATTGGTGGATCCTGAGCTGTGCTGTCCCCTCCTACGGTACCGCGCTTGAAATCATGTTGGTGTGGAAGCGGGTCCCTATAGTTACTTGTAGGTTTCCATATCCGCACTCTAAATGCACATCTACTCTACATCAAAAAATAGATAGGTAATTACGAAAGGACTGCCGCCTATTGGTTATAAGAAACTTAGTAGCACCTGAGGTCCTGTGATTACAACAGCCTTAGTAGCGAATATTTCAGGGTTTAATGGTTTTGTGCTTTCAGTGGTAGGTGACATTCCCATCGACAGCGAGAGCGTCAGCATTGTACTATGTAATCTCAAAAATGGATAGGTAATTTACTCATTCAAACAAGGCATAGTCTGTTTATACTACTACTATCCTATAAGATCAATTTCAAGAAACTCCTTATATCTTTTCTAATTTATGAGAATAGAGATTCTCGTAGAAAAATACCCTCCAACTGTCTCTTTAATTGGATCTAAATATAGAAATCCTCTATTTTGGATTTCTTCTAGTCAAAGATGGAGAGCGAGGATGACTCTCTAGAGTTTGCACAAGATATAGAAAAGTTGTTGAAGGGTGCAAAGATATAGAAAGCGATTTTTACTCAAATGACTCTTCAAACGATGATTTGGAGAGTAAATTTTAGAGAGAAAAAACGCTTGGAGATGCTCCAATGATGGAGTTCCCTATCTCCAAACATATCTCCCAATTATGCCAAGTTTTGGACTGCTCTACTCCATGTCTTGTAGGTCCGTTCTCAAATCCGCAAGCCAAACATATATAGCTAAAAAAGAGAATATAGGTTAGCACTATAAAAAATGCATCTAGGCTCTAAGTGGGTTTTGATAAATTTAATAACAACACGATTAAGTTACTAATGAATTTAATGAGAACTGTAGATGTGTTTAGTCTCAGGTATGACTGATATGTGTTTGGGCTCATATTGTGAAGCAAATGTCAATTGAGAAATGAGTCCAAGTTTGTTGATGAAATGCATGAATGATAATCATGTGGTTGTTGACGGTAGTTAATGTCAATCACAAACCGTCAATATACCTTGCATAAATGACTAAAATGAATCATCAGCATAGACTTAGGGGTTTAAACTAACAAATTCCACGAGTTTTGGTGAGTCTGTGTTTTCAGCTGGGTTTAATCAGAAAACCGCCAAGGAGGACCTATTCGTCAAAGGAAATTACGTTTATCCGCGACGGTACCTACATGGGAAGACTCTAGAAGACTCCAGAAGACAAATCACCGAAGCAGACCCTGAGCCACTAATATGTGGGGCCAGCCGGCCCCACCTGGCAATCTCTCCTCGCTACGTTGGTTCTCCATCGCCTTAGGGTTTGCATCTACGCCGTTCTTTTAAGTCGGTTTGATCCAAGGGTCCAGGATGCTTGAAGGCCCCTATATATACCTGCCTGTACCCCCCTCCTCTAGGGCATGCATTTTGATCCTGAGAGCCTGAGGGCCAAAAACCCTAATTCATATGTCCACCAAGATCAAAGCCAGCAATCAAGAGAAGATTAGTTCTCAATAGGATCTAGTCTTGTATTAGAGATAGAGAGATCGAGTGTGAGGGAAGAGTTTTGGAGGAGTCCCGGCCTGTCGGTGCTCTCTCTACGGCTTGTACCCTGGCGGAATCAAGTTCTTCTTGAGCTTGCTTCTGAGATTTCTCTGGTAATCAACTTCTAATTTAAGTAAGCGTCTTGTTCATATCATTCTTCAGGTTTGTGACTCTTTTGAGTACTTTAATCCTTGTACCTCCTGGGTTAAAGTAGTATTCGTAGTGTAAACATGATGCTTAGACTCGGTTACTCATGAATGTACCCTATATTCCGGATCAGTGGTAGCTCGCGAGGGTGACTCTTATAGCCTCGTTGAATCCTCTATAGTCCACCTCCCGTTTGTAGGCCTAGCAGGACCTTGTTGCTATAGAAAATATACTCTGCCTATGGTTTCTTCCTTAGTAATATCCCCAGAATTGAACAATAGAAAACAAAGCTTACTGAAGTTAGAACTAGAAGATCTTTGTGATCTCCTTTATACTCCTGTTATCTAAGCCTTGTTGCAAAGTTGGTTTAAGTTAGATTGAGTTATTCTCACACACGTTTCCTTGAGTTCGATATAAAACTAGGATACTTCCAGTGAAGTGCTCCATCTGTATAATATACGTGCGCTTGCAGATTATTCTGTGTGCGTTAATATTACCAACAGGGGGGGTGAAGCAATCAATGTCGTCGGAGTCGTACTCTGGGCCGTTCCCCGAGAGGATCTCAAGGAAGGTGCATAGCAAGGGGACATCCGCCCCCGTGACGCCGGAGAGGATGGCGCTTCTTGGCGCATCGCGGCTAATGAGGTGCTCCAGCACTAACTGGAAGGATGCCACCGCATTCTAGATCCTGAAAGGTTGGCCCAGGATGTAGTACAAGAAGTGGTCAGGTGGCGAGAGCACCTCACCGGTGGTGATCTAGTGGTGGACGTTGGCCAGAATCTAAAACATCTAGTGGCGGTCCAACACGATGGGGTTCAGGCCTAGACCGCATCAGATCTGACAGGTCAAGACCTTGAGATCTGCTCCCAGAAGTCCCAGTGGAGGGTGCGATGCTGGGGTTCGTTGCTCGCCGGCGCAGCCCCGTGGAGTGGACGAAGCTCATGGTAGCAGTTGATGACGTAGGCCAGGCTCCCAAAGTTGAGGACCTAGCCCGGAGCGAAGGCGCCGACCATGATGAGGAACTCGCCAAGGAAGCGGACATGCTGTCTGGGGTGGCGCCGCTTGCTCTAGAGACAAGGCAGTGGATCTAGCCATCGTAGAGCCTGAATCACACTTGACGCTACCCCCTACCTAGCGCGCTAGCTGTCGTAGGGTCAGAGCCGTGGCAAACATAGTTGTTCAAGTCGGTGTCAGAGTACGGGTCTCCGATAGCTCGGGTGGACTCAAGAACACAAGAATCACAGAGAGGACGTAATGGTTTATTCTGGTTCGGGCCAATCAATGCCCTATGTCTAGCAACTGATGACCCTTATACTCAAAAGCTCCCAAAATCGGGGGGTTAAAATAGAGTGCAGAGAGAGAGATTTGGTAGGGGGTTGGCTCGGTGCTAATCCTGAGGTTGCCTCACCACTGGTGGAGTCTTCCCCACATCGGAGAGGAGGAAGAAAATAGGATATGGTGGAGGAGCTCTCGGTGCCCCTCTTTGGGTTGCCCTGCTCTCGGTGTTGAGCAGGAGAGGATGGAATGGGATGGAATGATCTGTTTTCCATCTTCCTCCCCCTCTAGGTTTGACCTTATCCCTTATATAATGAGATAGGTCGGGTACATAGCGGTTTGGGGAGATGAGTCTATGGTCTACATGCGCCGGAGTCCAAGAGGGTCTTGCAGCGGCGCTCTATGGATTGTGGTGGTGTCGTGGAGCCAAAGAAGCCTTGGGCATCGTCCGGCTACTCTGTTCTGACACTCTGCGTGTCAGGCTATGTTGGCTTGGACTGGCCTCCCACAGGTGGACCTTCTGGAGTCTTCTTGGTGGCATCAGAGGTCGGCTCTAGGGGCTGACGCATGGGCCTAGGAGCCGCCCAGACCTTGGAGGCCATGGGAAGCTTGTCTTCTTGTGTCATGCCCTGTGTGTGACCTTGTCACGAAAGTGGCTGGCAAGGCCACGCCTAGGGAACGGCGTCCTAGATCCCCCGAGCCTCGATGGCTCGGGGCTTGTCTTCTTGCGCTCAGGCCTTGGCTGGTGTTGCAAGTCGGGCAGGAGCCAAGGCTCGAGCTCGAACGTGTTGTCGATCAAGAGCCTGAAGCCCAAGCAAGCCCCCAAGCCCTATGTGGGGGCTGCGCCATGCCCAGGCTTGGTGAGGTTTCTTGGTCGGAGGGTGCGCACGAGCATACCCGATGGGTATAGCCCCTGAGCCCCTAGGCGATCCTAGAGGGGTCGATCAGGGGCCCTTCGATCGGGAACCATTGATCCCGAGGCTTAACATACCCATATGTTAGGATCTCGTCAGTTGGTTTCTCTAGGGACGTTCGAACCAGCGTCATAAGACCGACCCAAACCGGTTTTGGTAGGTTAAGCTCAATCTTGTTGTTTAATTGATAATTTTGCTTGATAAGTTTTGTAGAGCCTATTCAACCCCCCTAGGCATTGACTCGGTCCTTCCAACTACATTGTTTGTGGGGCTCCTCCTTAAAATTTGAGCTTTAAATTTTTGGTGCAGTTGAGAAAAATTATCACCACTTTCA